ACAATACAGAAATGGCCGCACCTATTTTAACCGGCGGCCTAGTGCCAATGATGATAAATCCAAAACATTCACAAATAAAGGTCTTATTAGAGGTTACATAAGAAATGCAGCAAGGAAACTCCACAAAGGGAGCGTAGCATCTTATTGATCTTCAAGATTCAAAAAATGATATATATCACTTCTGAGGAGAAACTTCACTTGGGGTTTTGGTAGTCATCTGATCAACTGCATGCACTGTGGTTTGAAGTTCCTCCCATATGGCTTTGTACACCATCCTCTGCCTATTTACAGCCGATTGTCCCTCAAAGGATGAAGAGATAACATCAATGCTCACATGCCGACCATCCCCGCTAGCATCTTTTACACTAACCGATTCAGCATTTAGCTGTTCCTTGATCTTGTCCTCCATTGATTGCATGAGTGGGGAGTCGAAGGTGCCAGCATTGTTGAAGTTTGTGGCTCGAGCAGTGAATCTCCTCAAACCACCATATTGCTCCAATCTCAGATTGCTCCTGCATTCATTGCTACTTGCTCTGCTATTCACCAATCTGATGCTTTGCATCTCAAACACCAACTGTTTTTTCCTCAGTCCGGCAAATAAAGATGGCAGAGCACGACTTAGTGCCGAGGCTGATAACACGTAAGGACGCACCATCATTGTCTTGGCTGCCATTCTTCCCTTTCTCTACCTCTACCTCCACCCCAGTCGTTGCTCTAAGCTATACTTTTGATCCCACTATTTTCTTACTTAAGGACTCTAAAGTAATGGGGGCACCTGCAAGAATATGATGGTGCAAATCAAAATTGGAAGGGATAAATCACATGCTAAACTGCAAGTTTGCTAAAGCAAATTCATTTGAACAAAGTCCACAGTAAGTTTAAACAACATCCGATGTTCGAATAGAAACACTTTAATTCCAGCACAGACATCTGCACCTACTCGCTTCTTCCAAAACATATGGTATGATTTCAATAACAATTGTCCTACCGACCAATTTAAGAAAAAGTTAGTGCCATATCCCAATTACAAAATCTGATATGAGCTTCAAAACCCTCTTAAGCTCCAAAATGATGCAAAAGTATGCAATTTTCCTCATTACCAATACCAAAATAAATTTTCTTTCCGTTTCTCTTTTTGTTCCTGAATCCCTCAGCTAAAATCACATTGCTCCTCAAAACTCAATATCCCAAATAGAGTGATAAGCCTGGCAACTATATTGAATCAAATCTTAAGAACCCATTAACAGAAATAAGCTACAGAAGACGTAACAAGCAGTAAATTCAGAAGAAAACCCCATAAAAGAGTTGAAGAATATTTTTATATATTGAATCTGTATCAGAATTATATAAGCCCCTGTATTTATGAGTGATGCAAAAATGAGAAAAATAACATTTCATAGGTTTTAATTTTAGAGGCAGAGGCAACGATATAGATAACAAGGGAAAGAGGAAGATAAATTTACTTACTTTGCGGTTCAGCTGTGCCGCGATGCGGAGAGATAAAGAGGCGCCGGAGAGAAGTTGAAAGTGTAACAGAGAGGCTGACCAAACAAGAGAACGAAAAGGGGCAAGCAACCGTTTCCCTAGGGATTTTCAAGGGTAATTCTGTAATTACAAAGCGGAATAATTAAATATTTGATTATTTCTTCTATTTTTTCCCTCTTTTGATTTAAGGCAAGTCCACCCCAAAAGGAAAGGGCAATGGCAAGAAAATAAAAAAAGATTATGCAACAAAATATAAACAATTTAGAGGATTTGGTGTGGAAAGTTAATAAAATTATTATGTATTTATAGGAAAACATCCATAATTTTTTTGTATTTAAATTTTTTTTCGCTCGCTGACGTTAGCCTGACATCAGCGCCTTTGGGCTTGAGCCCAGATAGGATTTGCCTGTGGGCTTGCCCAAGCTGGTGGGTCCCATGCCTTGCCCGGGCTATCTTTTGTGCACTGGAGGTCCAAACCTTGCTTGTGGGGGGTGGGGGGGGCTATTGCCATGGCAACTGCCTAGCGCTGGACTTGCTCTAAGCTGTTTAATTTCACGCCATTGGGGCTTAACTTGCATACCAGTGGTCTCACAATCGAACCTCCATTACACCTTAGAACTAGTAGTATGTGTGTGTGAAAAAAACTCATCCCCTTAGATTATCTCTTGTATTTAAAAATAAAAATTATTTAATTTCATCAACTACAAATACAATGGAATATTCAATAACCACATCAACTCATAATAACAACAAAAAAATATGTTTAAAGAATCATTGATGGATTGTTTTTAAAGAATTTAGATGGTTAAGATTGGAGAGGAGAAACATGGAGACAAACAATTGCGAGGAAGTTTTTGTGTGAAGTAGAAAGCAAGTCTCACACGGTATGTCGACATAATAACAACTCCTAACCCAAGAAAATTAATGGGTCAAAATTTGGGAAAATCCAAACTAGGGGCCAAATACCAATCCAATTATTACCTGGACTTGAATTTTTTTTCAATGGAGCCCACATAGTCTGACTTAGCCCATGTGCAAGCAGCTGTGAAAGGGGCCCATGCTGCTGCTGCTACAGACTTTATCACGCCACATGTTGCCGTTGGAATCCAACGACACAATTCAAACATCCTTTTTTTCTCTTTTATTTTTAAATTTTTTTTTTCTAATAGCAGCCCAAATCAACGATTCATATTAAATCCAAACTATTTTAACGGTAAAATACCCAACGGTTGAAATTTAAATCCAACGGTCAAAATAATATTTTAAATTAACCTAAGTCATATGCAACCTCAAAACTCACTCCAAAATCTATAAATACCCACCCATTTCCCGAATAATCTACCAAAAATATTAAAAATATTTTTTTTAGGTCAAATTGTTCAAAAAATTAAATTATGAAGTTATTTTAAAAGATTAAATGAAGAAAAGTTATCCATAAAAAAATTAGACTTAAACCATTTTAAAACAATTTGATAAAGTTGCGGACTTAAAATTTGAGTTTGGAAGGTTGGAGGAAAAACGGTTTTAGTCCGGACGAAACCCAAATAGTTACTTTTTGGAGGGGGAAAATTTTGGTTTATCCCCAAATGGGTTGGAGAAGGTCTAACGTCTAAACATAATATGTTGTATTAAAGTGCACATGTATCAAAATTTTAGGGCTTATTTACTGTTTTCACCCCACGTCAGCACCTTTAACGGTTTTGTGGACTGAAATAGACGGAAATTGTAAAGTGAGAAAATTTTAGCAATTTTTAGAGATTCTGGGGGTTAAGTTAGAAAATTTCAGTTTAAGGGGGTAAAGTAGGGATGGCAAAAATGTATGATAAATATTTTTTTATGCAAGGAAAATCACATGTATGGGGGATAGTCCCCCGACGAGGACAGGGATGGGGATTCCCCGAAACCTATTAAACGGGGTTGGGTTCGGGTACGGGGGCGGGGATAGAAAGCGAGGACAGGAATGGTATTGTCATACCTAGCCCCTACCCGACCCATTGTCATCCATAGGGTAAAGTGAGACTGAGTGTCTGTTTCATGGGACGAAATAGTCAATAAGCCTAATTTTAATAAAATTTTCACACTATGACAACATAATCTATACTAACGTTGTTATTAATGCACTAACAAAATTTTCATCGTTCAACCTAAGAGTTGGTGGTTACCTAACCCTAATCACTTATAAGTTAATACATCTCGCCTAGGGATGGAAAAAATCCCCGCGGGGGCGGGTCCCCGTCGGGTCCTCAACCCTAACAGGGGGAGATTTCGGGGCCAAACGGGTATAGGGTACGGGGATCCCCGAACTTGAAAAATCCCCTACTGGTATGGGGAGGGGATGGTATTGGCATCCCCATCCCCGAACCTAACCCGAAAATATATATGTTTATATTTAAATAATTAATTAATTAATTATAATATTTGTATTTAATCCTAAGTTAACCTCTCTTTCCTAATTCTTCCTAATTTTTTTTGGAATTTCATATTGATGTGATTTTGAATAATTGAGTTAAACTTTATAGTTAATTTGGATGTGTTGAATGATAATTTAATATGAAACTTAATGTTAAAATGTATGATAAATATTTTTTATATAAAAAAAATTGGGGATTAGGGGCGTGTATGGGGGATAATCCCCAACGGGGATGTAGACAGGGATTCCTTGAAATCTATTATACGGGGATGAATTCGAGGACAGGGGCGGGGATGGAGAGCGGAGACGGGGATGGTATTGTCATACCCGACCCCTACCCGGCCCGTTGCCATCCCTAACCTCGCATCTCTCAATCACTCACTCTCTTTGGCTTACAATTATTACCAAGAACAAGTCTTCAAGACAAACCAGATGTGACCTCAAAGTTTTCCTACCCACATACACGCATTCTAGCTCCCTCCATATCCACTGAAGGCAAAATATTTATTTATCCCTAATTTACTGTCCATCTTTCTCGTTGTATTATTAATAGCTTTGGTAGAGAAAACAAAAGCGGGAATATAAAATTTCCCACCCAACAACTTGGAGTAAATTTTTGGTTTAATTTGCAACACGTAATGTTATCAATTTACTTATATTATAATTTATATATATACAATTTTTTTTTTCTTCAGAATTTCAATATATTTATTATTGTTTCATTTGTGAATAAGTAACACAATGTAATTTTTGACCGAAATAAAAACACCATGTAAGTTGTAACTTGTAACAGTTGCATAACACCAATTTGTTACGAAGTTGAGAGGTCGATCGGAGCGTCGTGTAAGGTCCCCACCCACCATTATTGTGAGCCCCACATACACATGCTTCTCACCACGACAGTGCGAAAAAAGCCAAGGCAAGTAAACCTATAAAGCAAACGACGACCATCTCCCGTGGGCTCCACCTGAAATTGACAATTGACAGCACACAAACTTTAACTCGGCAATCCCACCTTTTGGCTAAGCTTCATCCACGTATCGCTTCCTCATTGGCCAATCCCTAGATATCCCCAGGCCCACTGGATAGACACACACTTGATCAGAACACACAAAAGAGAGAGAGAGAGAGAGAGAGAAAGAGTTTCTGTGTGTGTTTTTTATCAGACTTATTACAGCACAGCATCGTTGGGTTATGGCGTCAAAGCTCTGTGACTCGTGCAAATCGGCGACGGCGACTCTGTTCTGCCGAGCTGACTCAGCCTTCCTCTGCGTCAACTGTGACTCCAAGATCCACGCCGCCAACAAGCTCGCTTCCCGCCACGCCCGAGTCTGGCTCTGCGAGGTCTGCGAGCAAGCCCCCGCTCACGTAACGTGTAAGGCCGACGACGCCGCTCTCTGCGTCACGTGTGATCGAGACATCCACTCGGCCAACCCTCTTAGTCGCCGCCACGAGCGAGTTCCCGTGACGCCCTTCTACGACTCGGAAAACTCGGCCGCCAACTCAGTCCCCGTCGTCAAATCTGTCGTCAACTTCCTCGACGACCGTTACTTCTCCGACGTGGAAGGTCAAGACGCAGAGACTGAGGTGAGCAGGGAAGAGGCCGAGGCTGCTTCGTGGCTGCTCCCAAATCCGAAGGCAATGGAGAATCCGGATCTGAACTCGGGCGAGTACTTTCTCCCGGAAATGGATCCGTATTTGGATCTGGACTACGGGCATGTGGATCCGAAGCTTGAAGATACTCAGGAGCAGAACAGTTGCGGTACAGACGGCGTCGTGCCGGTTCAGAGCAAAAACGTTCAGCCTCAGCTCGTCAACGACCACAGCTTCGAAATTGACTTCTCCGCCGCTTCCAAGCCATACGTCTATGGCTTCCACGCTCAGTGTCTGAGCCAGAGTGTAAGTACTCTATTTTTCTTACTAACCAAACAGAGGCTAAATAAATTATTATTGATTTTCAATCGGAGTCTCTGATCTTGTGTTTTGCGGCTCAGGTATCATCGTCGTCTATGGACGTTAGCGTTGTGCCAGATGGCAACACGACGATGACGGACGTGTGCGATCCTTACACCAAGTCAATGAGCTCGCCGGTGGAGTCAACACATCAGGCGGTTCAGATTTCATCGACAGATCGCGAAGCGAGGGTGTTGAGGTACAGAGAGAAGCGAAAGAACCGAAAGTTCGAGAAGACGATACGTTACGCTTCGAGGAAAGCGTATGCGGAGACGAGACCGCGAATCAAAGGCAGGTTCGCTAAGCGCACAGAAGTGGAAATCGAAGCGGAACGTCTGTGCCGGTACGGCGTCGTTCCGTCGTTCTAGTTTTAATCGTAGTAACTTTGTAACCAGAACCAGTAAGCTTTTTATTGTTCGTTTTCGTTTCCACAAATTCTGATCGTAGTTATGTAAATATGGTAAGAGTAAGAGATGATGTATTTTGAACGATCCATGGAAATCTTGACCGTCGATTTTGTACAAGTTTTTATATATATATATGCAGTAATGAGTTTTGTATTAAGCGTATCAGAATCTGAGTTGCTATTGGTTTATGTGATTCTGAATTCTGATTAGGATTAATTTAATATAATTAGCGAATCAATTAACTATTAATTGGATAAGGTAAAAAGCCTCTGACTAGTACCTGCGACATTTGTTAGGTGAGAGATGGTACACAACTTGATCGGTGAAGATAATCTACCTAACATTTTCTTTTGCCAAAATTGCCCATGTTTTCCTTTCCTATACTCAGGGAGTCTAGAACAATCAACAAGAATGAAAATTGGAATACGTAAAGAAAATAAATGGTCCAAGGCTGCAATTGTTGTCTATCATGTCGTTGTCCGGTGAAGGTGAAGTGCAAGACTGTCGCAAGCTCAAGTGATTAAGAGCAATTACCTCGCATTTATGTTCTTATTTATGAGTCGGAAGAAGATCCTTTCATACTTTTCCACACCTTATTTTGGGTTTGGGCCTTAGGATTTAACAAAGAACAACAACACTCTGTCTGCCCAATCCAAACAACGCTGGGCTCAACCCAATGAATGTCGTGGTGAGCTCAGCCCTTATTGCTGGCATGGGCCCGACGAGCTGCTGCTGGTGTTGATTGTGATGGTCGAAGAGAAACGCCGACGTTTTGAGGGTGGGCATGCAGCACCCTACATAGCCCATCTTGGTTTTATCGACATCGATGCTAGAAGAAGCAGTTAGAGTAAGACTTTGTCCAAAAAAAAAAAGCAGTTAGAGTAAGAGGATGAAAGATGGTGATAGTTAACCAAGGTGGTTGGTGTGAGTGGTTCGGCACTCTCATTCCTTAAGAGAGGTCAGGGGTTCGATCCCTGCTCTCGTACGGAGTCACCACTTTGGCTAACACTTTAACCCTTATGGGCCGACCCGGTGTGAGTGGGGATTAGTCTGGGTTGTGGTTAAGGCTTAAAGGTGCCACCCATAGTTGGGGCCCATCCAGGACCACCTCATGGTTCAGACAAAAAAAAAAAAAGATGGTGATAGTTATTGCAGATAAAAAGAGAGAGTTGTTTTATTTAATCTAAGAAATTTGTAATTACTTATATTCGTATTTGTTTTCTTTCAATAAGGGTAGAAATTGATCAAGCCTCCTGTCTTAAACAATAGTGCAGATGGATACTCTCTGAATAATATTTTGTGTTTGGCAAATAATAATAATAATAATATTTTGTACTAATTAAATAGAACTCAAATAATTTTAGCCGGGTACTAAAATATTTGTTTCCACATTTAGAAACTCATCTGAAGCACAAGCACGTTTTGTTTTAGAGGGAGCAATCATACTTAGTTTATTATTAATTATTAATGCTTACATCTACTTTTCTTTTCATTGTATAAACAAAATATTCACTATTGTTGTGAAATGGATGGTATATGAGAGAATATTGAGTTGCACGTAAAGTAAATGAGACATGATATTTAACGAGTTTCGGCCATGCCTATATTTTCGGAGAGCAGCAACAATAACTTTACCACCATGTAAAATAATAAGACTACAACTTTAGTGTTTACAATCTCACTGGCTCACTGATTTTTCTCTCCCCCTCACTCTCTTCTTCATTATCTTCTTTCCTTCCTCTCTGCCCTACTTTCTTTCTTCTCTCAGTTGGTGTGCTTCACTTCTCCTAGGCTTATAGCAGTGAAGAGATGAAGCCTTTATATAGGCTAAACGACCTATGATTAGGGTTTGTCATTGAGTCGCCCTGGAACGGCCCGATATTTTTGGGCTCGGGTCGAGCCTCATCGAGATTTTTCTTTTTTCGAGTTAGGCCGGACCGAGATTTCAAAAGCCTTAGCCTTGGCGAGCTTTCCGAACCCGGCCGCCGATGGGCCTAGAGAGGCCGGTCCTTTTATTTTATTTTTTAATACTTTCTTTAAAGGTTTTTTTTTATATATCTTTTTGTTACAATTTTTCAGACAACAATGACAAATTTTAACTTATTAATTTATAAAAATTAAAGATAACAAATTTTTAAAACCATATTTTTAAAATATAACAATAAATTTATTAATTCATAAAATATATTATATTATTTCGATTAAGTCTAAAAAAAGTTATTGAGTGCATCACTGTACATTATTTCTTTTTGTTTATTACAATGGGCTTGTTTCTTTGAATATTTGTACGTCTATAATAATTCTATACTATTATTAGTATTTTTTATTTATTTATTTATGGTGGAGTCGGGCCTAGGCGGGCTCTTGGGCCGAGAATTTCAATGCTAAGCTTAAATTCTACTCAATCTTCGAAGGGGCTGAACCGAATAAGCCCAACTATCAAACTGGGCCGGATTTTAACCCGTCGGACCTCAGATTACTCACTTCGGCCCACAGCCTAAATGATGACCCCTACCAATAATGCGTGGTGTGGTGTGATGTGTGGTTGGCTGCAAAGGAAGATGACAGACAAACTTCATTATTTTATTATTTTCTTTACGTGGGCTCCACCAGCCTTGGTAAGCAAGGTAGGCGGTAATGTCAATGTGGGCATCTCCACCCGATTTTTTTAGATTAAATAAGTTGAACAAAGACACCACCCCCAGTATATAAAGCCCCCGTCCCTTCGTTGTTATTGCAATATGCAAGAGAGAGAGGGAGGGAGGGAGGGAGGGGGGGAGAGAGAGAGAGAGAGAGAGAGAGAGAGAGATCAAACAACTGTCCATTTTTCTTTGCTGCTTGTGTAACTAATAAATAGCTAGCTAGGTCTCTCATTGTTCCTTATTTTCTCTTATTTTTTCTGTTTCGGTTTCTATTTTAGATTTTTTGTTTTTGTTTTTGTTTTTGTTGTTGTTGTTGCCCAGTTTAGTTTCTTTTTGAGTGTAGAAAGAAAGGAGGACGATGAGGATAACAATTTGGTTCGCTCGTCGTGCGTAATGGCAAAATTGCCTTGCCGATACCATTCAATATTTCTGAGTCCTCCTCTTTCTCTCTCTACTCTACAGAAATGTAATTTTACTTTTGTTCTCGAACTTTCTTCTTCTTTTTTCTCCTTCTGTAAATTGTTACCACTCACTGAGTCACTACCTATTATCAGAGTTGAAATGCGGAGAAAGGTCAGAGAGAGAGAAACAAAGCATCATGGGTATATATGTAATTTCGATTTATTTGTTTTCCAGTTATCTGAGTTTAGTTGTCTAGTAGGTTTCCCGACTCATTATATGCAAACACTAAAATATTTATGAACTTCTGAATGAGATAAGTTCTGGTGAAGTTCAGTGATTTTTCCCCTGGAAAATTATGGTTTCTGTTTAGCTTGGGCAGAGAGCTCGGGTGAAGACAAGTGCCGATTGTCTTCAATCGAACGGTTAAGAAATACCTGGTCTTGATAACAAAGCCCAAACTTAAGAAATACTTGGTTTTATTTTTAGTACCAAAAAGTCTTTGAACACGAGGATAAAATAAGAATTACCAAAAAAATACAAAGGAGTTTTTGTGTTCGTCGCTTAATTTGCCATGAAGGCAATAAAAGAAGTGAAAAAACACTTGAATTAACGCTTAGATTTACACAGAGCAAACGAAATGAGAAAACACTTTACAAACACATTGACATTTCTGCTACACTTACTGTCAAAATACAAGATCTAAGTTCACATACACAAGTCTATGCTATTATATAGGCTGAAGACATGTAATACACATTTGCAGCCATGTAAGTTTTGATCATGTCTCTCTATTCTTTTTAAAGTACAACGCTACCACAGACGTTCTAAAACTATTAACCACTGATTTTTATTGCACCTGACCTACCACCAATCTGGTAGGATTCCAAGCCCCTTGCTCTGAGCATGAGCAGGTGCTTACCCGGAACTGCTACGAGAGGTGCCCCCTTGGTTAGCCAAGAAACGAACCACGACACAGGTAATATTGTCTGCACTTCCTCTCTGATATGCTTCCTGCATTAGCCTCTCTGCTGCCTGCTTTGGGTCCTGAATTGGTTTGATCATTGCGACGGCCTCCTATAGAAATAAGGTCAAGAACCAGTCAGGGTCATACCATGTCATCTAATCGATTTGCTAATTGTAAAAACACAGTATAATCGCAGCAAAATAGGGATAAAGGACAGACATCCCAACTATTTACTCAGAAGGATTGATTACTGTTTGGTTAGTCAAGTAGTCAAATACAGAACAAAAAGTTTTAGGCTCTAAAGGCATGCTGTCATTTCACCCTCCATCATATCAACCGTATGGCAGAACGGTAAACAGAAAAAAGAAAAAGGGAAAATCATGGCAAACCTCATTGGTGACAACATCCCACAGTCCATCACTTGCAAGAATAAGGAACTCAAGAGAGTTGTCAATCTTTTCCTCCTGCCAAAATAAAGCAAGTTAATAAAATATGCTGAGAAGCGAGGGATGGAAGCAGGCAATGGAAACCACAAGACAAAACCAATCAACAAATTCTTCAAATCACATTGGACTGGTATTGATAATATAGAACTCAAAATGCAGTTAATCAGACAAATATTCTCAGTGTCTGAGATTAACACTAATCATGAAAATTTTAAAGTTTCTACGAAGGGATGGAAGCAGGCAATGGAAACCACAAGACAAAACCAATCAACAAATTCTTCAAATCACATTGGACTGGTATTGATAATAAAGAACTCAAAATGCAGTTAATCAGACAAATATTCTCAGTGTCTGAGATTAACACTAATCATGAAAATTTTAAAGTTTCTACGAGTATTGTGTTTTCCCCACAAGACTATACATCCTTGAACACCCATATATCATATATGTGTGTGTGTATTGACGATCAAGTATCAGAAAAACAAATCAAACCTGGATTTCTGGATCAGCAACGACATACTGCTTCAACAGCCTATCACCAAATGCACGAGAAACAGCGAGAACACCTCCGACTCTCCAAGTTCCTGTTGATACAATCTCCGTCATCAAGAACGCAATCATCTACCAATTCATGAAAAATCTTCAAAACAATGATAAACCTTACCAGCCCACATTACAAATCCTCCTGCGTCCTCAATT